AAAAAAAAAAAAAAAAAAAAAAGAGTTGCTAGCAAGATGTTTTTTTCTGATACTCTGGGAGCCATAATAACAGCTGTTTAGGAAACTCATTCCCTCTCCTCATATCCAAGGCAATTAGTTTTTCCTTCAAAATCCATCAGAAAGAAGAGTGGTAGAAGATGGGGGGAGGCAGCGTGGGTTCAGAGCGTCTAACGGGCAAATGCTGCCATACTGTGGGGCTGAGCAATCGTCTGCCTTGCGCAAGGGAAGTTTTGAACAAATTGTCCTTGTTCCAAGGGTGAGGAAACCGATGGGTTTTCTGGCGTTTGTTCTCCTCCATAATGTAAAGCTGCTTTCACCTGTAAAGTATGATGTGAGACGTAAAGGAGAGAGAGAGAGCTGAAATGCAGAAGGACTCAAACAACCTTGCCAGGCTTTTCATGGAGCTCTTGGTGTTAAATGGGGAACTTTTCTCCCTCCTTCTCCTCTCGTTTTCCTGTGTGCCTGTGAAAATACTCTGGTTTGCATTTAAAGGAAAAACTGTATGTGCTGGGACTACGCCAAGTTGTTTATTCAAGGGAAATACCATCTTCCCAAGCTCTTTTTTTCCGAGGGAGCAGCTTGACAGAGGATGGCACGGTGGGCTGAATATTAGATTTTTGAGGTGACATCGAAGCACGGTTGTGATTTGAAGAAGCTAAAATCCCGGTTGACATTTTCCTTTGAAGTCCCTGCTCTCTGTTTTCCCTCCACTGCCCCCCAAAAGGGTTAACTTGTTCCTGCTAGATTGAATTTGTAGAGCAGGTGGTTTTTGACCTAAAACAAAACCCCACCGTGTCAGAATTTGTTCGTTTCCAGAGTTTTTTTTATCATTCTTTTCTTCAAATTGGATTTTTATTGCAAGGCATGAACTTGACTGCATCCTGGTTGTAATGAGAGACTTGGTCTGAGCAGGGCTGTGAATTAGCTCTGGCTGTGAGAGGCACTAGTGTTGCAGATAGTAGCTTCTATTTTACTGTCAAAAAATGGCAGGTCACTGTGTGTCTGTAAACAATGCAGTTATGAAATGGCAGTAGAAGGCCGAGCTGAGCATGCTCAGGAACAGCCTGTAGGGGGAGGTGATCAGAGAAAGATGATCTAATTCAGTGCAATTCTTGGGATTGAAGGAAAAGATCAGGCTCCATCCTAATGACAGAGCAGAAAGAATACTTCTGGGACGAAGCCTGTAGGCCATGGCTGACAGACTCTGAGGATCTCCTACCTTTAGGACTTTGGCTACTGATCAGTGCTATCTTGCTTGATCGTTTTCAGGAAGAATAAAGTCTTGGTGAGGTTCGTCTGTAGATATTAGAGACAGGCCCTAAACTGCAGTCTTTTTCCCTCCCTTCTCCCTGTCCGTGTCTCAGTTTGCATGAGTTGGTGTTTTGCTGCCTGGCCTGCACTCCAGCTTACTTGCAGGTAACCTGAAGTTTTGCTTGAAGAGGGAGCGATAGCCGAACGAGGCCTTCTGCACTTCAAGAAATTGCACGCTCAGTTGAGCTGGGGGGGGGCAGGGAGAGTATTTTTGTGTGCCTTTCCCTCTTCCCCACCCCCCCACTTTTCCCCTTGCCCTTGCACTCTCCCCAAACCTGGCTTCTGAAGTTGGAAATGCGAAGCAAAACCCTGTCTGCAACTTCCTCCTGGAGCTGTGAAGAGCTGAGTGGAAGAGAGAGCAAAGTGCTGTGATGGATATGATGATTTTGGGGATGAGGGGAGCCTCGCAGGTTGGAGAAGTGCTTCAGGTCATTTTAATGAGGACTGCACACTGGACTTGGTCTTCGAAATGGGTCTCGTTTGTCCGCCATGGGCTTTCACAATCTGCTTTGCTTTGGGCACCCTTTTCCTGTTTGGTTGATTTTTCGCTAATCTTCTAGGGGACTTGAAGTTCCTCCAAAGGATGGTTTGCAGCCAGTGGGAGAGTTTTTAGCTTTTGCTACAGATAATGATGGGTTGCCAGGCTTTCTTTTCCTCCCCACACCCTCCCAGTGTTAAGGAGGGGAAGGCAGCAGCTGTGAATAATGGAACAGTACTTCTGTAAACCTCAGACTGTGTGAGGAGGAGATGCCTTTGTATGCTCAGGGTTTAGGGCCTGTCTATACATACCGGGTGTAGTGGTTTAACTATGCTGGGATATGGTTAAAGCAGGACAACACTCCTACTGTGGACAAAGCTATATGAAGTTAGACAAGGAAAGCAAAAAAGCAGTGCCAGGATAAAGCACCTCGATACTGGTATAATTACATCCAGGCTAGGGGCTAAGTTGGTGTAACTAGTCTGGTAGAACCATTGTTCCTTCGATTGAGAGGCGGTTTTTCTACAAAAATTGCAGGAAGACCAGGGTTAGTAGGAGGTGCTGCCAAAAACTTTTTTTGCATAAAGACTGAAGACCATCATCACAAATTTGTGTTGTGAAAAGTCACTTGGACTTAGGACCTTTCACCTTCCATGCCCATGTCTCTCTGTTCCTGGCTTTTGCATGCAGAGACTTGCACCTTCCCTTGTTTGCTAGTTGAGTGATTATAGCTGAATATTAAAAACTCTGAGTGTGTGTGAAGGGGAGAGAGCAATACTGTTGTTTTATAGGAGGCAAGGGAAACCGTGCACTGAACCTGTCCCCTGAATTGCTTGGTTAAAACAAGAGAATCACAAGACTAATCTGGTTTGACAACAAACTAGAAGGAGAGTGGTGCTTGTTTTGAATATGGCATATTAGCCACAATTCACATGATTGCTAGAGGCTCCTAAGGAAGTGGCCTCAATCTTAAAAGGAGCTTTGAGAATGGGGACTGCTTTGTAGGCCAGGTACATTGTTGATTGCATTTCTTCCACTTCCTGAACGAAATAATTCAGCGGCCAGGAGGCCAGCATCTCCCCAACAAGATTTATTCTAGACCTAGCCGGTGGACAGCAGGACATGATCTGTGCATAGACTTGAAGTTAACACTCTTCACATGTCAACAGCAGCAACAACAGAAAATAGAATCTCTCTTTCCCCAAGTGTTTTCTTAATCACGGTTTCCTAAATAACTAGCTGCTAAATGTCTATCTTTTTCTTTGTAAGCCAACGGATATTATTAGAAAGTTGATTTTCAGGAGAAGGGAGAAAAATAAAGGGTGAATGAGAATCTGCTGCTGCTGGAATTGCATCATTATTAAGAGCTTTGCCTCTCTTTCTTGCTACAGTACATATTGCATACCTCGCTGCCGCCTTGCACAGTAGGTGAAATACTACTTTGTTGAAGTGCTTACTGGAGGTTTGCCTAGGAGTAGAATTTGATCTGTTGGGAGAGCTGGTTTTGTGGGGGTGGCTGGGTGGCCTGTGGGGGGAAGAGTGGTGTCACTGGCATGGAGAAAGGAGCTACATATCCATTGAGTTTTGAAGCTTCTGGTTGTAGGCTTTGCAGGCCATTCAAAATCATTCCTCTCTCTTTCTTTCCTAGTCTGCAAACAGATGTGTTGATGCGGCTAGTGCCCTGAATGTTAAATGTTAAATAATAGCATTTTCTATAGTGCACTGCATAGTTGGGGAAGAGAAGGGTTAGTCTTCTCTGATTGTTTCCCACATGCATGCTTCTTCAAGCTGACCTGTTTTAGCTGCATTTTTAAATTAGAAAAAGGTTTCTTCTAAGTCTCAGGTTCCTGGACAGTTCATTTTAAGACAATGAGGAAAAACCTGGTTGAAGGTAGACATCTTAGTATATCTCTTTTCATTGTCTGCAATTTAGAGAACTCTGGTTCATGATGTAACTCGCTGATCTCTTGGGGGCTTGTCAGCTACAAAATGCTGGATTAAAGTTTTGATATGCATGTGTTGTCTTTTTGCACAAAAGCTTTATCGGAACCACGTTGCTGGGGAATGAACCCAGCTGGCTGGTGAAAATCCCAAAGAGAAGCTTCTTTCTGTTCTTTTAGCTTTATTTTTTTTCAATAATTATTAAGGAACCAGTTCAGCTTCTAGTTCTGTGTTTGGAAATGCTGCAGCCCCTCTGCTTGCATCTTCTTCCATTCCCTTCTAAGCTTTGAAGTAGCTAAGGAAGCTTGATTTCTTATATTCGAGGTGGAGAGGGGGGGAAAAAAAACCCCTAGTGCTAGCTTCATTTGGATTCTCATGGTTTTTAAAGTCCTTTCAAAGACCTACCCAGTCTCTTTTCACATGCAGTAATTTTTGTTTCCCTTGAAAGCAACAAAAAAGAAAAAAAGAGAGAAGGAAAAATAAGGCTTCATTGGTTGTGGGGCATAATCTTTGTGGAGGCTCCAGTGACTGAAGATTAATAATCACTCTGTTGTAGGCAGAGGAATGGAGACGGACGGCTGCAGGAAAGGGGGAAAAAAAGAGTGTGAGAGACTTTTATTCTGAAGCCGGCTGTGCTTGGCAGTTGGCTTTTGTTGGGACTGCTGTGAAAGCAGACATTTCTCTGCTAGGAGGGTGGGTATAAGATTTCTCTGCCAATCAGGAGCCGACAGATTGGGGCATGGTGGAGTGTGAGCAAAAAGGGAAGTTTGCTTTGAATTTAAGGGGAAAAAAATGGAGGTATTGACACTTACAACAAAGTTGCTGCTAACAAGTTTGGGTGGGATTGTGTGCTGGATGGAAATGGATGGGCAGCCAGAATCCTGCTGCTCTGGAGGAGGGAGTGTGCATGGTGGTGGTGGTGTGGGTTGTGCAGGACTCTGCTTCTGAATTCTGTCTTCAGGCTGCAAATGTGTGCCATAAACTTGATGCAACTGACTGTTGAGAGACCAAGGAGGGGGGGACTTGCCTCCTCCTCTGGTTGGATGGGGTGCAGGCTTCGAATGCTTTGCAGCAATTCTCCTTTTTTTGCTGAATGTGCTTCCAAACATGCAGTGGTCTTTTCCCCCTCCACAGGGCTGAAGAAGCTTTGGACTGTTTTAGATGTTGATGTGCAGTGCATGCTGGTTTGGTTTTTTGGTTTTTTTTTTTTTTTAATAGGTGTGGGCGCTGATGCTTTTAATGAGGGCCATTTGGATGTGGTTCTGAAATATGGACCACGTGAGCCTGTCAGAAGCAACCTAGAGTAATCCTGTCTTGTGTTTTGACAGTAGTATGGGACAGAAATGATCTTTAGCTTCTGTGGCAGGGATAGGGATTCTCTTTAGAAAGTGACTTTTGTTTGCCAGCTTCTGGCTGCCAGGTACTGGTCATGGCAGTCCCGGAGAGCGCAGGTCCGTAGGCAGGTTGCTGGGGTCTGCTCAGTCTTCAGGGTTCTAGCAGTGGCTTTTCTTTCAGGCCTCGTCACTTGAGCAGCAGCATCATATCCTCTGGCAAGGTGAAAGGGGGTTTATGAATGACTGTTTGTGGCTAAGGGCGTCACATTTTGTAATCCAGAAAATGTAGATCAATTGAACAAAAAAAATTGGCTAATCTGAAAACTTGAAGCTTTCAGTTGGAATCAGTGTAAAGGTAGGAGCAGGAAGAGATTTATTTGTATAACCTAAAGGTCTGAAAACAAACTGGCCACTGTTAGAGGTACTGAGGCTTTTTTATTTTATGTCAGTCACTGCTGCAAGGGCAAGGTTATTCATTCTTCAAGAGCAAGAGCCCCTGTGTCTGTGTGTTTGCATAGATACAGTGGGCCTGACTCTACTGTCATTTGCAGTAGCCTTCACCAGAATAATTCCATTGACAATTCCAGTGAAGTTGTTATTCCTGATTTACACGAAGGCAAGAGAGAAGAGAGTTGGCATTCACACATGCAAGTGTGCCCCACAAATAATTTTTTAACTCTTAGCTAAACAAAGATAAGGTTGACCTACATTTAGTCTTCAGGCTGCACTAATGATCATTTCATGATGGAAAATCTATGATGCCTGTCCTTGCCATAAGCTTGTCTCATCTAAAACTGTTCAGTCATAGGACTAAGATGGAGTCTAAATCACTTTTTAAAAATATTTCTATACCTCTTAAAATTTGGATGCATTATTTTCAGTGTCTTGAGTTTCCTTTCTAATTGGGCCCTCATAGACATGCATCTTTGCTGTTTGTTTATGTCTATGGAAGAGGGTTTATGCATGAAGGGGGAAATGGGACATGCTTTACTTGTTTGAGGCATGATCCTCTAAGATGCAAAATGTCTTCAGCTCCCCATAGAAAGACCTGCCCCTTGTTGGTTCATTTCTTAGATAAAAACAGGAGGTTTTCCTAGAAACTTTAACAAGTAGAGTTCCTCAAACCTGTTTCCTCTGCTTAGCTTAGTTGTTCACTGGTTTTCAAACGATGACAGCATTTTTTTAACCCCCTACACGGTGGCCTTAGTGTTTCCTGAGCTTTCCTGAATAGCCTGCTGCCAGTGATGTAGTATGGGTTGATACAGAGGACTTGCTAAACAGACCAGGAGTCTGTTGCAATACATAAAGGAAGGACCCTGCTGCTGTAAGACCTAAAAAGAACTTGGCAGTGAAGCTGAGTTTATATGGAAACAAAAATTGCAGAGTGGCTTGTAACAGTAATACCAGGATCAGCTGGGCTGCTAGCCTTGGAGCATTCAGACTTAAATGACAATAGGAAGGGCAATGTGAAGATCCTTGTTTGCATGGAAAGAGTTTTTAAAGCTAATGTGCCTGGCTCACATAAGTCTCAGTTCCTTTTGCTTGCTTTCTGGGAGAAGGGCAGGTTTTCTTTACCCAGTGTGTTTTTAAACCTTTTCATTTACATGGCTGCAGGCACCATCTGCTCTCTGTGTTGGCCTACAACAGTTGGCTTGACCTAGGCTTATTCTTCTTCTATGATTCACGCAGCATGAAATGAACTCTTTACCCTCGTCATTCCCCAGCCCTTACGATGGATGTTCCTGTAAGGACGCTTCATTGTAATAATGCAAGGCGGTCGTCATCTTTTCTTTTTACACTGGCTTGTCCCTTTAAACAGAGAACTGTGTCAAAAAGGCCTTCCTCCTACAGGATTTAAAAAAAAATACCTTTCTCTCCTCTGACTGTTGTGCTTTTCTTCATGGCCACGCATTTATAAATTAAGCAGAAAAAACACTGACCCTAGATAGGAGCTTGATGCCAAGTGTCTCAGTGGCAGAATAATATAGCTGGTGTTTATTTCTTTAAAAAAAAACCCACTGTAGAACTTAGAACTGAGATTTTGGTGAGAAATGGCTGTCATAAATGTAGCAGTCTTAAATGATGAGATTTGAAATGTAGCATGTTACGTTTGAACAAACTGGAGAAAATACCTGAGTTTCTTAACATTGCTAGGCTGAGATCTTCAAAACTGGCTGGTGACTTTAGGGTGTCACTTTGTAGCCCTGAATAGGGCACCCGAAGTCACTGTTGAAGCAATCTTGGCCTGAGTCTTTACTAAGAAGATATAAATGACAACTGCAGAAGAAAATGCACACTCGAATAAGATGGGCTGGCAGGTCTGACAGGCCTTAGAATTTTTGATCTTTGATCAGGACCTTGCTGATAGTTTCCTAGAGGAGTGAGTTAGCAATATGCAGCATGTCCATGATGTTAGAAGATTTTTTCTGTAATTTGGTTTTGTTTAAATCCATATAGTATATATGAATGTTGGGCTAAACCCTGCCTATTTCTGTCTCTCTTCCTCCCCCGCCCCAGCAAACAGTGCAGAGTAAGGGAGAAAGTAGGAAAGACATCTGCATGAAGACTGAGCTGCTGAAAGATATCACCAACAATAAAGAAGAAGGTAAGCATGCTCTTTGATCATAAAGGAGACTCTGAATATCATGCATTTAGAAATAACCTGGTGGGTTAGTGATAATATGCTGTGTCCATTAAGGACCTCAGTTCTGCTCCCACTGAAAATTGTGGCACAGTGTTCCTGGGGGTTCAGTAGCACTAGGAACACACCCCACAGGATGCAAATGTGCTTCTCATTCTCTCTTTCTCCACGCGTCAAGATAATTATATTTACTTCTCACTTCTGCTTCTGACCGGGTTTGGAAACAGGAAGGAGGCTGAGTTACTTTGACCTCCTCATCCCTCTCAGGGTTAAACTGATGAAGTTTGACCCTTGGTTTCCTAATTTTTGTACTATTAATGGCTATAAAACAATGGACTTGATGGATTCCGATATCAGAAGAACTATTCTCATGCAAGCACAGTGAGCAGCTACTGCTTTTTGGCTTTTGTTGTTGCCTCTGCAGGGACTGATATACTTTGCCCTACTCAATAGATTAGGGGTTTAGAAAAGCACTGAACTGGCATCATCGAAATATTTCTGGTCTTGGCTGGACATGGAATATCAGATCTTTAAAAATTCACACCTTTCTGAGTACTGTGTTTCTTCTCTTGTCTCAGTACTCTGACACCATTTTTAAAAACCACTTCCTTACAAGACTGCTTTAGTTAGAGGCTAATGCCCTTGCCTAGCAAGCAGCCATGTACATAACTGTAAGCATGTGAGCAGCCCCCCTTGATGTCAGAGTTACACATATGATTAAGATTTGGAGGAATGGAGGTGAAATTCAGATGGGTCTGATTTGGTGTCATCTGCATAACAGAGAGGAGAATCTGACTTGGTACCTTCTGTTTGCTTAAGCCTGGGATATTAGGCTTCTTTAATATGATACAAACCATTGCTTTCTCACTCTAGCTGGTCTCAAGACAGCAGTCTCTGGAATCAGGTGGGTTAAAAAAATCGTAGATGATCAGAAGAGAATGATACTTTGGAGTCTGACACCTCTTGACTGACTTGGACTAACAGCATACAGTGTGACATAGGGAAGCTGAGAATCCCAGCTGTGCAATGGTATAAAGCATTCATTTCCAGTCTCAGTGCTTCACAAGGTATTGGACTTCCAAGCAATCCCCCTTCTTTCAATCTGCCAACTCTTTTTTTTTTTTTTTTTATTAATATTATTTTCATATGTCTCAGAAAAATTACAAGTCCTGGAATCCAAGCTGTGTAACTTCCATTCCCTGTTGCAGAATAATATTTGTATTATCCTATATATTTTTTTTTAAACATGCCTGACTATGATTTGCATGATGATTGGATTGTGTGGCAGTATACATTGTTCTTATCTGACCTTCATTTACCAACTTTGTCTGTCACAGGAGTTCAATTAGTTAATGTTCACCAGTTCTATTAACAATAAAACTTAGCACTTATATAGTGATTTATGTTTTCAAGTGTTGCCCAAACATTACATTGTTACAACTGCCTGACAAGTTGTCATGAAATGGTTTCCTTAGAGACCGCACAGAATGTAGCAGTGGAGGCAATGCACGTGGCTGGGAGGTTTGGTGTTCAGTGAAACATCCCAAGAACTGGACACTTCTCCAACCTATCAGAGTCTTTTGGGTCTGTCGAAGAATCTGCAAATCACCTAGGAAAAAGATTCCACGTCAGGTTTCTGATGCAGGTGGCTTTTGATTAGGCCTGAGAGAGCTTCGGGTTGGGTGGGAACTGTCGTCTGCTACTTGGACCAAGAGCTGACCAGACTTTGTTGTTTTGCGAGTATTCCCTGGCCTAAGTTATGTGCAAGGAGTGCACCCAGGATCTAAAACTCTGAGCATTGAACTTTTGATTGAAAAGCCTGAGATTTTACTGTTTGAGCTAAAGGATGCTACACTTCCTCATTATATACTTCCTCACCCCTCTCCCTGTAGTAGGAAAAAGTTCTGAGCACTTCAGAGATTGAGCTTAGACAAAATTCCCCATACAGGCAATCATTGGTAACAGCCTACCTAGATGTCATCCACCTAGAGGTTAAAAAGGCCTTCGATACAGTATCTCCTTCTGTTCTCGGAAATAAACTGTGATGTAGATGATTACACAGTCAGGTGGGCGGCAAATTGGCTTAGGAGTTGCACCCAGAGAGTGATGGTGGACAGGTCAGTATCGACCTGCAAAGATGTGGGCAGTGTAGTCCCGCAAGGCTTGGTCCTTGGACTGGTGGTGCTATTCAGTGTCTTCACCAGTGACTTGGACGAGGGTGTGGAGAGCACCTTGTCCAAGTTTGCAGATGGTACCAAATTAGGGGGCAAAGTTAACAGACCAGAGGGTAGGGAATGTATCCAGGCAGATCTGAACAGGTTGGAAAAATGGGCAGAAAGTAATAGGATGCAGTTCAGCAAAGACGAGTGCAAAGTGCTGCACCTGGGCAAAAAGAACCACCAACATGCTTACCGGCTGGGGGAGGACCTTCTCAGCAGCACAGCGGTGGAAAGGGATCTTGGAGTCACAATTGACTCCAACATGAACATGAGTCATCAGTGTGACGAAGTGATCAACAAGGCTAACCACACTTTATCATGCGTTAGCAGATGCATGACAAACAGGTCCAGGGAAGTGTTGCTTCCCCTCCTAAGCCAGTCCTGCCACTGGCTTACTGCCTGATCTTTTATAAGTCATGCAACTCCTTGGTACCCAAGTCCTGTCCAACTGTAAGATGAGCTTGAATATTACCTACCTCACAGGCTTTTTGTGACACCTGATGCATTGAATGTGTTGAGTTCCTCGACTAAAAGATAATGTGGAGATATGCCCTTTTTGTAAGGTAGCAATTGTGCACTGCTTGCTCTGGCATTACCAAGGAGTGCAAGAATGAGAAATAAATTAAACTAAAACCTTAACTTACACCGGTAGAGGTGAAATGTTCAAGTGTGTCTAGCATTTTAGTTTCTTTTTCTGGGAATAATAGCTAGGCAAAATAAAGCTCAGTATTAGTTGCATACTTTGAATAAAAGCTCTGTTCGATCTAAGATTGCACCCATTATAAAACCTACAGGAGACTAGTACAGTAGTGAATAGAGTGATATTTCCCACAGCCCTGGGGAAAGGTGCTAGTTTTGTTCTTTGTATGGGGAAAAGTTTAGGTCAGTTCCTGGGGTGGAAAGAGGTGAATGAAAGAAAAGTTGCTGTTGTATTTATGAAGATTGTGTTGTATTTCGTTTGTTGCTGTGAGTAGCTAAGTAACGAATCACTTCTTTACAACTGAGTGACTTAAATTCTTCTGCTAATGTCCACACCGGAGACCTCCCTGCTACATCTCACTGGTTCTTTCAAAGCAGGCTGCTGCACCTGTTCTGCTCAGCTCAGCAAGTGGAAAGTTTCAGCTAAGAAGCTAGTTGCAGAATGAATGGGCAGAGAAGTGCGATTGAAAATGAAGTTCTCCACTGTGCTCAACCTTTCTGTGACTGCTGAGGCAGCCATCTTGTGAGAACGATAGCAAGGGATTCTGGTAGCAGAGGAGCCCGGAGCCCAGCGTCATCTTACAGATTTACAAATAAGACTCACTTCCGCTTTTAAAAGAAGGTCAACCTTAAACATTTCTCCTACGTTATTTTTCTTTTCAGATGGGTTTCAATGCTGGTGGGAAAGTGCCAGTACAACACTTCTTTGTCAGAAGCAGGTGCAGCATAGGGGGCATTGTCGCTACCTTTGTGCCTCTCCCCTTTAGAAAGGGAGAGAGGGTTGTTTGCTCTCCGTGGCTCGGTTCTCACCAGTGTCCCCTGCTGTGTCTGTGCGCAGGGAAGCCAGTCAGAGCAAGAAGTCGGTATTTATTTGTGGTAGCTGCAGCTACTTGGACGATGCCTCCCGGGTGTTCAAGAACAGTCCTTTCTGTGATGAACTCATGAACTAAGAACAGGCAGACTAGTAGTCCTCTGTTAGGGGCAGGACAGCAATAGAAAACCACTGCACAGATCAGCTCGGGGCACGCGGTGGTGTGGACAGTGAGGGTCTTGGGCTATTTCCCATCGGAAATAATCTCCCGCATTTCAGACAGGCCACCGAATAGGGACAATTTTCAGTCACTGTCATGGTTTGATCCTGGCAATTGAAATATTAAAGCGTTTTCTTCTTGTTTGATTATTGATCAGTCTCTGAGTAGTTTGGAAATGGTCTCTTACATGGAGACTTGACACCGCAAGTAGATGGCCATATTCAGGGCCTGGTGTCAGCTGAGCATCTGGCTCAGAATCGCCAGCTCTGTTTTACCGCCCGAGTTTGAAACTTTCAGGATCTTGGCTTGAAAAAATGGGTGGTAGCTTCTTTTTAAAGTGACTACAGAATTACTGTCTGCAGTTTTGATGTTAATTGGGAACCTTTCAACTAGTATCCCTCCTTCGGGTTTTCAACAAATTATTATTTCAATTATTATTTCTCTGCTTTCCCATTTCATTTTTTTTTCTTTTGAGAAGGAGGGAGAGCTGTTTGTTATGACAAACCATAAGACCCACAAACCCGATCAAGTGAACTGATGTGTTTGGGGTTCCTTTATTTCCTGCTGCAGCTGAAGATCTCCTTGATAAATCTGAGGAAGCACAGCTGTGCGTACTGTCTCTGTTTGAAGATGCCATCAAACCTAGAGAATAACCTATCAGATCGAAAGAATTGGGAGTCCTGTCTCCAGCAGCAGTCCATGTCCCTGTGGTTCAAAGGAATGTGTAAAAAAACCCATAATAGATAACTGAGCATTCACTTTCAGCAAGATTTTTTAAAAATTATTTTTCCCCCTTAATCCCAGTGACCGCAGTTGGCTTATACCTTGAAGCAGGAGGGCTCGTATCTTTTATATTTTTCTGGCCTGTGCCACTGGGGATGGGAGCGTGTCACTTTTCCAAGGGGTCTAAAAGAATTAGGTGCTTATCTGAAGGCTGGGAACTGAACTGAAGGGGTATAAGTCCTGGTGGCCTACTCATCCCATTCTGTCAGTACAGATGCAGTACAGTTTCCCTCTGGCTGCAGTTTGAACAGCTGGCATGAACCATAGTTCATTTGTCATACACAGTCTGCTTGGGGGCGGCCGTTGGCAAGTTGACCAGTAGAATGGAGCAGCTTTGTAGCAGCGGAAAAAACTAACATGAGTTTTTTCAAAAAGATAAAAATCCTGCACAAGGAAAGCCAGAAAAGGAGCATAAACTACAGCAGGTGGGGCTGGGATATGTGGTGACTTGTATCTCAGCCCCTCTCTCAATATTTTCTTGTGTTCTTCAGAAATTCCACTTTCATTTGATTAAAAACCAGTTCCTAACGGTTACGGTTGAAAAGAACACTTCATAAAGGCCAAGCATGTGAAAGTGGTGCAGAGGGGGCCTGACTGAGTCTGCGGAGAGCCAGGAGTGATAGCTGGGAGCTGGGCGAATACAGAGACCCAGTGATGGTCGTTTACATGCCAACTTTGTTAATTGTTTAATTCCTGGTCTTAGAAAGGTGAGGGGGTGGGGATCATAAAGGTACACAATTTTCTGTGGTTCTGTCTGAGTTCTGGAAGAGGGGCACATTCTTAATGTTAGTTGAGAAACGTTGAATGTTAAAAATTCAGCAGGTCCTAATGAAGCTCAGCGAGTGGACAAACAGGAGGACAGCAGAGGATTTTTTTTGTTGTGTATCCCTGCAGGGATACACTGCAGGGTTCTTAATTAACCACTCAGGAAGGCTGGTCTAGGCAGCACTGTGGACAGCTCAATTAAAACCTCTGTTTGGTGTGTTGCAGGGGTCAAAAAAACAAAATGCATCACTGCTTAAGGAAAGGAGTACAGTAAAATAGTGAAAATATTAGGATGCCACTATAAATTAAAGGTTTACCCTTGCATGGAATAATGCACTTTGGTCTGGTTGCCTTATCTTAAAGCAAACAGACATAACAAAAAAGCCCCAAACAAACAGATGTGGTTCTGAGATGGGTGAAGGAAATGATTGAAGGCCTCAGAAGAGTTCATGCAAGAAGAGACTGAAAATATGGGACTGGCTGGTGTAGCTGGGAACAAAGAAAGCCAAATATGATAAAACATAGGATGCATGTTTCTGTTCTGCATGTGTCCTAATAGAAGAGCAGAGAGACATTTAATGAGACCAAGAAAGACAACACACTACAAAATTAAAAAAACCCCTCATTTTTATGCTCTGCTTAAGGGCATTTATGGAACTTATGGCTGCAAGATAACTGTTCAGACCAAGACCGTAACAGCATTGAAATAGTGGCATATGATAGAAGACAGAAAAAAATTATACAGAATGGGAACGCTCATGCGGTAGGGTGGCGGTGACCAGAAAACAGCCTGTATGCCATATTCATACCACAGGGTTCCCCATGGGTAAGGAAATTTGGTGTTCGGGGGTCAGTGGTGGCATTAATTGCTGCAGTTCCGGGAGCTGTGACAATAATACTCCTGCTTTTCCTGCACCAAATTTCTTGGATCCATGGGGCCAGATTAATTGGGCACTGCTGCTTTAGGCCATAAACCCTAAATGTAATTGTCTGGGGCTTGCAAGGACCTTGTGCTATTGACTCCTTATTCAGTAGTTGTCTTTGTTTATGGGGTTTCCTGCTCCCTGTGAAACATCTAATCTTGCCCTCTATCAGAGGTCTCAGTTCAGCAGAACATTTTATCACATGTTCAAATCCATCTCCATTCAGCAAGGCATCCAGCCACACTGTAAGCGCAGGATGAGGATTCCCAGGTTTCAGTGATGCTTAAGGATGTGCTTTGCTGGGTTGGGAGAAAGTGCAACGTAGCCAGAGTGGGGATACCAGACCAGATGGACCAGCAACCTGAACTTGTGTGGCAATTAATATGTTTCTATCACCAGGTCTCCCATAAAAGGTGACTAACCTAATTATTTTACCATGTCTTAAGTAGTTTAGGGATGGACATAAAGTAGGTCTTAGAGGGGGGTCTTTTTAATTAAATGCTCACATAGAATCCTGAGAAAATCTATAGAGATTCCTGAATACATTCGTGCTAGACAGTCTTGGTGCATCTCATAGGGGATCTGTGCAGTGTATAGAACAACTTTGTAGGAAATGGTCAGCTTTTTCTTATCTAGGCAATACGTTATTAGTTGTTATCATTTTGTGCTGATGAAAGATGCCAGATTGACTTTCTCCCCTCACCCCAGAGCAGGTGTGTCAGAGGCAGCTGCAATACAAGCTTTCTCCCTAGTGTGCCTCAAATTTGACTGGGGGATCAGGGAGGGTTTTAATCTCCTTTCATATTCAGTCCTACACTTCTCTGTTAACATTACCAGCAAGAGAAACAAGCTGTGGCAATTTTTTGTCATGTGGACAGGTGTCCACTAGAAACCAAATATTGAAACCCTGTAAATTTGCTTTGCCTACTGAATGGCAGCAGATTTGAGATGAAAGCTCTAAGGGTCTGATTCTTCTTCCATTTCCATGAATTCTGTGTAGTCAGTTAGTCCAGGGCAATTTTTCTTTGCTTTGCTTTGTAAGATTTTTTCACTCATGGGAGTTTGGAAAGTTTTTTGTCTTTTTATAAAGATTAATGGCATTGCACAACCAATCGGATTGCAGTTACACATTTACTAGAAGTAGGAAATTGTAGGTGGCTTTTTAATGTTAGCTTAGTGACTTTTTCATAATGTGTCCATGTGCTTTCTGGAGCAAGGCACCTACTCTTGCCCCTAATGCAGCACTCTAGTCTGTCTTGATCTGGTCACTGTTGTGGCAGTTAAATTGAATGAACAGTGAAAAAAATTGTTTTATCAAATAATCAGCTGCAGAAGCTATTGGACTGACTTGATGGGAAGCCACAGCAGCTTAAATCATCCTGTGTTTAGGGTCTCATTTTCCCTGGTGCCAGATGCCTCCCACAGATCCTCCACAATTCAGTATTCCTTCCAGGGCTAAAACAACTGAAAATGAAGAATGAAATAACTCTTCCAACACCTTTATTTAAAATGCCAGATATGAAATATGAGAAGTGAGAAGGGAATATGCATGATTGTGTGTTTTTTTTTTTTTTCCCCGTGATCTTTAATTTTAAGTTTTCCCTGACTGATTTTGTGAACAGTTTAAAAAATAATCTTTATTCTTCAGAGTCATTCTGGTTAAAATACTTGTGCATTGTACTGTAGTTTCTATAGGTCAAAATGCATCCATGGAAACTGTCCTGGGTTACTTAAGGTGGCAACCATTTGTGTTGCTCTGACTGAATCCTACTTGGAGATCCATTAGGCTGCCTAACTGAAGCATGCTTTTGCTTCTGCCCTCCTGCCTAGTCTCTAGAGAGTATTGGTGAGCTATTTTTAAAAGCTAATCAGCTGTCCATAGTTTAGACTGGCAGTATGCACCTGGGGAGCTATAACAAGCCTTGGCTGCCTCTATTTGGGAAGGAAGGGTGTTACTGATGGAAGTTCCTTGCCAGGTAAAAATGCCAGTGCTGGATCCCAAGAGGAGAGCTCTGTATTGCTTGGCATCAAAGTATAAAAACCCTTTCCACATCAGATATCCATTGATTTCATCATGAAACGACCAAAAGGGTGGCGGGGGGGTTGTTTTTTGTTTATTTGTTTTGTTTTTTGGGGGGGGTTTAGGTGAGGCTGGTATGGTGCAATTATGAGCCATATTATGGCTAGTTTCATGCATCAACCAGTGGCAAATAGTGCTGATTCTTATGGAACAGTGTTTCTCTTTAAATCCTAGCTGAGTACTAAACAGAGTGGAAGTTCAGAGAACAGTACAAGTGCTAAGCTGGATCTTCTTTGGGGGAGGAGAGTTTAACTATCAAATATTGGCATGAATCTCTGTGTTAAACCTGTTCAAGGCAAAGTTGAGCTGAATGCAGAGCATTTTAGAATCAAAAGGAAGAATGAGAATCCTTTATGGGGTCCCAAAATCCTGTTCCTACCCCTGTGCTTTATATCCATACCAGTGCTGCTCCAAGCAGAAGAGTGGGCATGTTTTTTCTTGGCCAAGGACACGTGAGCAGGTTAATCTGCTGTGTCACGTTCAGTTATCTATTATGATTTTTTTAAACATTTTTTTTAAAAACCTGTGACCACATGACATAGCCCTTGAGATGCCATCCTGTGCCAACAGTTGCAAATTTATCCCTGGACAAATTGGGCTATTGTCTCACTCTATCAAATGCACAGCCTGCTTGGTTGGGCACAGCTGATACATTGCAAGTTGTTCCACGTTTATGCTTCCAGCTCTGTCTCTATGTTCATGTGTCCATAGCCTAAAGCAGGGGTTGAATGGATTTAAAAGGATTCAGAGCAGCCCAATACTTGGTGTGCTGAGCTGTGTTGACATTCCAGCCCCTCCCCTGGGTTATGAGCCCTTCAGAAAATTCCAGGTTCAATTCACAGATATATACTTCGAATCAAGCTCTAAATTAGACCCACATAGTCTGACAGCCTAACTAGGCAAAGCTTAAGCTGGTTATTTTTGTCTGTACTTCTGTTCCTGCCTGGCCTCTGGAAGGAAAACAATATGAGGAAGCCCTAACTACAGTTTGATTTAATCATTCTACAGAATGTGCCAGTGCATTGCTATCAGTTCTGGTTGTCTGGAGAGATGCTGGTTTTGCTTGGTAGAAACTTTTCTGTCAAGTTCACATTTAGATCTTTTCTGCCTGGGGCTGAAAACTCTTTTTTTTTTTTTTTTATTGGACCAACTGTATAGTTGGGAGAGATGTCAGACAAGGGAAGAACTTCTTACATTAACACATCCCTTCCTGTTTTGTCTGTAAATGAATTTACAGTTCAGTCTGTTTGCATTGAATCTCACTGTAATTTGAATGGGATAAGTGTTCCTAGCCTAGAACGGTGCTTAAAGTGATTTAACCTCATCCTTACTCAAATGCGATCTCTTCTATGACACGATGGTTCTTAACCCTTTGTTACATAGGCAAGACAAACTATCCCTGTCTAGGTTCTATCCTAAATTTTTGCAGTAGAGCAGTGTTGGCTAGGTTGATGAATTTTTGCTCAGCCATAAAAGGTACCAAAACAAAAGTTCTAGCGTATACGTAGTTGTATTGGCAAAATAATGTATTTGTCAGCATTGCTTATTTCACTTACTGAACAAGTGAAGCGGTGCCAGCGAAAGATGCTCTTTTGCCCTATTGCATCTATTTTAGGAAGGTTTGTCAGTACAACTACCCCAGCAAAGCTTTTCTATTGGGAAAGTGGCCTTTGTAGAGAAATCTTTGCCTGAGATGGGAATGCAGTATTGGATAACATTGTTTGACATGCAAGGTATTGATGGATGGCCCCATAAATGTAGTTATGGGAAAAACTGTAAAGACAATTTTCACCTTGGCAATGTAGTTGGAAGAAAAGGACCAGATCTGAGGCTGATTCAAATCAGCGTGATTCTACTTATTCCAATATAGCTATACCAGTTTATACCAGCTGGTGATCAGCCCCCAATAACCAAGTAGATAAAGTGGTGACCAATTGGATAAGTGGCAACCATTGCTGTTGTTGTTGTTGTTGTTATTATTATTATTATTATTATTTGGTGGAGGAGGGATTTGTTCTGATCTGCCTAGTCTTGTAGTTAGGCATGCCTTCCTTTTTAAGTCTCAGTAATGTGTGTGATAATTCTCTCTCCCTCTTTCTCCAGGGTTTAATGCCATGGCTGCAGATGAAAGTGCCACAGAAAAGCAAGTAGGGGAACCAAAAATGGCAGTAGATGGTGAAACGAATGGCTCCTGTGAGCGCAACGAAGCTGGTAGCCACCCAAATCCAGCTAAAAACACTCAGGACAATACAAAAGTGAGCCAGCAGGACTCCAGTACTAAGTTAAATAGGATAGCAGAGAATGGCATTTCTGAGAGAGACGGTGAGACTGGGAAACAAAACCACATGAAACCTAATGACTTCACACAGACTTCTGTAACTGGGAGTAATGGATATATTTTAACTAAGCAGATGGCACAGGAGCAGCCACTAAGGACTACCAGCACCTTTGCTTCTCTCACGGGCCATGCTGCGAAAACCCTCCCAGGAGGGGCAAGCAAAGGGAGAACTGTGGGCACCTTTTCTCAGATGCAAGCCACAATGCCAGCCAAGCTCGGGGAGGGAAGTAAGGATGTGGATGCTAAGAAAGCCACCCCTGCTAATGCGGAAATCAAGGTCCACAGAGCACGGAAGACCATGCCTAAACCCACCCCTAGCCTGGTAATGTATATGTACTGCAGTCAGTTGTACTGCAATTGCACTGGGTTTTCTATGTATTCAACTTCTAGTGGGTGGTAGGGTATAGCCTCAATGTGTGTGTATAAGTGTCATTTGGAAATAGCCTACTGACCAGAGTTTCTTCTTCCTCCTCCCAAGAGGCAGAGATGTTAAAATGTCCCATGATATGGGGCTGCCCCTTGTGTTTTCAAATGCATCATTAATCAGTTACTTCTGCCAGCAGATCCATGAGGGAAATTTAATTGCCTTTCTTTCTTGCCTGTTTTGTACCTTAAGCCCATCACTGAAATCCAAAGGGCTATTTCTGAAACATGTCTCATCCTTGCAAGTTCAACCCAAAGATAAATCATGTACGACTAGTGAGATTCCAAGCCTGATAGGAATCTTTACATAGCAGGAAGTTCCTATCTTAGGACTTCTTGCTATGCATCACTGTTGCCTTCAGCTGTCTTAACCAGGCTGGTATTCTCCATGTTTCTTACTTACGTTAATATAATGGTCTTAATCATAGAAGGTGCCCTTTGGAGTGAGTGCATGCCTGTCACTTAGTAAAGGATATAGGTCTGCCTTCTTCCAGATGAAAAATGGAATTGGGGTTAAGGGGAACATTCCCTTCCCATCAGTCTTGCTCCTTCCTCCTTTGTGCAAACCCCTAAGAGCAGAAATGGGCCTTGTTTTATGACATAAATGTTGGTAAGCTCTGGCTCTATTGGACCAAGTAGATGAGTGGTTACCAGACTAGAGGGACTGGCACTGCAGATGACTGGCCTCCAGCCCCTCAGTGCTGTAAATCTAGGGACAGTTAGCTGGGGCCCCAAACAATCTTCATTCTCATAGCTGATTATAGGGGGAGGGATAGATTCTTTGCCAATACCCAAGTCAGAGGAGTTTAAAAGCTAAGTTCAGCATTTTTAAGCCCAGCCAGAAGGAGTTAGAAAGAGAGGATAGCTGTTGAAACACTGGTGAAGTATTTTCTCATTGGGTACCAACGGTTCACAGACAGAAAAACGCTAAGTGATCCTCAGGCATCATTCCTATCACTGCAACACAACAGTAATCTTTTTTTTTTTTTAGAGGTTGCAAAGATATGGATCACTGTGGTGAGGTAAGGATCAGAAAAACAGGTCCCAGGCACTTTGCCAAACACAGATGGCAGAAGGTGCTCTTGGTTGTCAACACCACCTGTGCTTCCGGAAGCAGGTGGGAGTCTAAAGAGCATTTCAAAATTATGAACCTCTTGGGTGCTTAGTGTCGGCAAAAGGGCAGAAACCCCCCCTGCCATAGCTTCAAGATCATTCCTTCAAACCACTAGCTTCCCCTCTGCCTTCCCCTGATTGCACTTCAGTTCGCTTGCTCTCACCCCTGTTCCCTTTTGGGCTTTTGACTAGGGAAGCCAGATGCTGTGCATGCAGGTGTGATGAAAGTGCAGCATCAAGCTCTATGTTTTCCAAGCAAAGAATTGCAGTCAGAAGTGCTCTGCAGTCTGCCACTGTGGTCCCTTATACACTTGGATTAAGGTAGGGAACCAATGCAGACCCTTGTGAACCCTCACAGGGAGAGGTTCCCCTGAGACAGAGGAACATGTAGTCAGTTTTCCTTTTAAAAGACTAGCAGTAGGTGAGGAGACAGGGCCTCACATTTCTTGCCCACGTTATTTTTTTTTCTTTCTCACTTTACTCTGAATTAAAATAACCTACTGTATCTGACCCGATAGGGTTGAGAGTCTGTTTTAGAAAACGGC